ATAAGTGTACCAAACTATTTACTCTTTACTTAAAACTTAACTTGTAAGGAATACTTAGTTCTCTTCTAACTATTGAGACTTAGACTCAACTCATTATTCTTTGCTCAACTTGTATCTTGAGACTTAAAATAAAGTTAAAATGTTTGTTTAATACTCTTGCTAATTTTAAGAAACTTTACTTTAACTTACGTCATAGCTTTAAGCTTTACTTGTTAACCTCCTTGACTTTGATCTTAACTTTCGTTGAATATATTATGGATTCAAGGTTCATGATTAAGTTTATGGATTATTTCATGATCTTTATATGTAACTTAAAGTGTTTGAATCAACAAATAAGTGTGGGTACATCACATGGGAACTAGTACGAAAATATAGGGAAAAAATGGGGTCTGTAGGTGATCTTGGCGCTTTGAGAGGCACAGAGCGCCACAGCCTGACGGATAGACTCTGGTCTGAGGCACTCTGACTGGCGCGACGTGCCAGAGCCTTTCACACAGAAGTTGTCATGAGGGTCTCCTGAAACCATGACGCCCCAGGTCTTCTCATATGGGACCTCCGACTTTTCTTCGTTTCTCATCTCTAAACCTCCTAAACATCCATGGATCTCATACCATTCATTTAATATCGCTAATAACCTCAATAACCAACTGATTAGAATGGAAAAACAAACAAAAAACACAAATCCAATCAACTAGAACATGGTTAACTCATTAATAAGAATTCAGTAATTCTTCTTCAAGAACTTCAATATTCATTCACCGATCTATTGAAAACTCGCTGAATTTAACATATTGATATGTGGGTGAATGAACCCAACTCAGAAAGATCTCACATACCTTATAGGGATCACCATGACGAATTTTGCTCAACAATCTTGGGATTCTTGATAAATTCTTGGCTTTTTCTCCTTTCTCCTTCTTTTCTTATCTTTTCGCCCAAGCTCTAAGTGTATTTCAATTTTACAAAAGTGCTAGGCGTAGCTTTACCTCCAATAAACCCTTAAATTAAATTAGGAAACAGTAGGGTGTAAAGACCACTTTACCTTTACTGAAATCCAGATTGTATTTTCCTCAATCCAATAGCCCAACTTTCGATAGGCATATCTCCCTCATACAATATCAAAAATGAGAGAACTCGGAGGCATCAGAAAGATCTCATCAAGGGATTTCCAACCATAAAAAGAACTGACCCTAATTAGTCATCCTGAGCTAGAAGTTATGGCCATTTGAAAATCGCCAAAAACTCACTTTTAGACTTATGAAATGTTTTTCCAGATTTTTCCTATTCTTTCCAAAAATAAAAACTTTAGTTTCTTTGTTTAATCCTAGTTATTTTTGTTAGAGAGATGTTACACAACTAGTAATAATTAGAGTGTCCCTAGCTTCCTCTCGAAAGATTTGAGTATGAGATATTTTTATTCCATCTTTTTTCCTTTCAATTTCAGCTACATTCATTTTCCATTTGATGTTCGTGAGTCTATTTGTCTATTCATCATGTTCTAGAGCTTGGGTATACATTTATATATATCACATTACTTGTCTATATCAATGTATTCTCGTGTATTTTTTATTGATTGGCTTTGAAAGGTCGGAAGTTGTTCATTGAAATGTCTAGTAGCAAAGTTTGTCAGTTTACAAACTACATTACCTTGGCTTCTATCTGTGTTGTTCAAGCGGTTCAAAAATGTCATTGGGTAAGTGTAAGATCCTTAAAAAGTATTGTATTTTTGGAGGATTCGATACACGTCTGGTAACAATTTATAAAAGAGAAACTTAGGTTACCATGACCACTTCCAAACCCACACCTCTCGATTTTAATGTTAGATTTCCTAGACTAAATTGAGCAGTATGTTGAAATAGATAAGGAATTGTACTTATATGGGATTGTCTTGGTTGGTAGGGTAGATTCCAAGACAAATTCTCATCTTAAAATTCATCATGAAAAATTTATTTTTCACATTAGCCATAGCAAAGAGAGTGTTTGTCATAAATAAAAACGATGGAGGAAGAAGAAAGGTAAGCTAAGTGAAGGAGAAGGGTTGGGGTGGGGAAAATTCCTTCTTTCTATTGAAACACGCCTTATTTATATTTTATTTAATCCTATTTTGATGTATCTTTGATAATGATATGAAATTTACTTTTTAGTTGCAGAAGTGTGTAATAGGTTGCCTTAATAGTTTAGGCGTGTAACTGAATTTTCAGTAAAACTTCAGGGGTCAAGTCATATATTTTGTCTTAATTTGATATGGTCTTCTTACATGAGTCCAACTAATACAAATTAGGATACAAAAGTTGAACAATACATGTGAAAAAGGCAAGCTTTAGGTTTACCTTTTTGCACACATAAAATCACATAATCACAAAGGCAAGAAGGTGAAGATCTAGGATCACAACTCAAGTTATTACATATTGATAGTAAGATGTTATTAATTAGATCATGTAATAGGAGTATTTACTTAGTTGTAGTAAGCTTCTATTCATTACTGATATTGTAGTTGATGTTGTTCTACAGTTATTACTAAGTTGTAATTATTTTTAGATTGAAGAAAGTAGTTTTGAGGTTGAGGTTTGTAACAAGAAGCGAGTTTGGATTTTTTGAGAGAGTACTTAAAATAGTTTGAGTTAATGGTTGATTGAAGTAATAGAGTTAGTTCTTTAGATTACTAAGTTGTAAAAATGTTGCTCGTGAGAAGTAAGTGGAGATTGGTGGTTGAAACGCTATACACTGTAGGCCATGATTTTTCATGAGTCAGAAGTCAAAAGGGTAAGAAAATTTCTCTAAAATTTCCAAAGGGAAACAAGACTAATTATAGAACCAAAAGGGAAACCTTATGACGGAGAATTTTATGACATTTAAATCAGGGCAGCCACCGCAAGGCGTGGAATTCCATGTTCATTGCAAGGCACATGGAATTCAGTGCCTTGCGGCATTTTTTTAAAATGAATTTTTTGTTCAGCAGATATTAATTATTTTTTAAAAGTATACTACTTGGGTTAATTGTAGGCTATTCATTAAACCTTTAATTTTTTTATTAAATAATTTAAAATTAAATAGTTTTTACCCTTTTCATCTAAATTCTTACCCCATCCCTTCAAACAACCAATGTACTTTCATCAGTTTCATCATCACTAGAACACCATAAGTCCATCCAAATAGGTTCTTTAAGGAATAAAGGTGAATAATGATTTAAGAGTTCATCTTGAGATATTCGATATTTGCTCTTTTGAAACATAAAAATCATTTTATTTTTAAAAAAAGGTGAGGGTGGGGGGGGGGGAAGAGGACGAAAATGGAAGAATAGTTCAATCAATGGTGAGCATTATATTCTGAATGCATACAATCATTTTGAATTGGGTTTTGTGATGATTGACCCATCATCAAAGGAAATTGAGATGGGTATTTTTGTTTTAGACATTTATTGTGAATACTTTCTTGTATATAGATTATGTTGCATTGGAAGTGATTTAGAAGGGGAAGACTCAACTCTTGAAGTGATTGTTGATTAATTTAAGGCAAATGACTTCCTAAACCTTGTATTCTAGTTGAATTAGTATGCTTCTTTCATTGATTATGAGTTGGGAGTAATGGAGATGACATGAAGGCTTAAATTTCCCACTTGTTACATGCAAACGAATAAAAAGAGGTTTAAATGAAAAAGGGTATGTGCTGAACATGATGAACGACAACCCTTTTTGATCGATTGATTAAATGATTAAAATCAATAATGTCAACTTGAATTGTATGAATTATTGTCTGTTTCGTATGGTGCGATATTGCTTGTCCATTCGTTATGAGCACCCTGATGAGAAATGTGGTGATTTGTGATGTAAAGTCAATGGGAAATGGTTATGGCAAGTATATAAAGATGATGGGAAATAGTTTTAGCTTATGACATAAACCGATGGGAAATGGTTTCGGCTAGTGATTTGATACAATGACTATGGAAAAAGATTACGTCGAGTAATATCTTGCTGATTGGAAATAGTTCTGGCAAGAGATTGATTATGAGAATTGATTCCTTTAATGCTTATACGTAACTTGTTTGATATTTGAGATTGATGTACTTGTTGCGCGTGGCTGAACTACTTGTCATTGAGACTGACCTATTTGATTTGTTTGATTGTTAATTGCGAAGATTGAAATGTGAATATTTGAACTTGTGAGCTTTGTTTTGTAGAATTGTTAGGTTCAGATGTTTTCTGTACAGGTTATAGTTTGAGGGGTCTCGGTGGAAGTCTGGGGTGTTCATTTTCTAGCAAGTTACTTTGTTTAGTAGATTGGTTGTGGGTACCTGTTGGTGGTACTCCCCACTTGTTTTTAGACTTGTGTAGATTTTGAGCCCGGACCTGCGTGATCTTCTTCTCCTTCTTTTAAACTCGAGGCTTGTCAAGGACCTGAAGTAGTAGTTGTTTTTATCATTTCGAGGGACATCTTTTCCCTTTTCTTGCACTTTCTTCTATTTGAGTAACAAAGATTGAGACTTGTATTTATTTTATAATTTCACCCTCATGTATTTAGTGGCTTGAATAAATGACAACCATGTTTTTTGGTATTATTTAGAATGAATAAAATTTTCCGTCTTTGTCTTGTTCTTGTTTATTGTATGTCCACATTTCTTTCGTTATCGTTGGTTTGAGGCTAACTTGTCTTATGTTAATAAGTAAGTTCTATTATTTCCATTTTTTGATCGTGATATAAACATTATACTGTGATTACATATTATTCAGTTTGATACAACAATAAAATAGCTTCGAATTTTAATGTGGTTTGAGACATTCCAAAAATAAATCATTGAGAACTTTCAAATTATAACGAATTGAAATCGAGTAATAATTTATAATTGAAGATCCAATAAGAGGATTCCACGTGCTAAATGATGTAATAATTCCAACAAAATTGTTGAATCAATTAGAAGTTGTCACGTGTCCTTAATGACATATTTTGGTCAATCAAAATCAATCTTTTTACACCAAATTTGTGATAAATTTGACCAGAACCAAACACAAGAAGAGAAAAGAGTTTATTGGAGGGTTACATAATTTTTTGAGTCAAATATCATGTAAAGCTGCCCTTGAAGAAACAAACTAGTGGCCGCCTCCTTTTCCAAAGCAGCAGCACATATCCAAGACATAACCACAAGGTAAAATTTTATAACTCTATTTGACTTATCATCTGCTTGAAATTCAGATCAAACACCGTCTGCGCATCAAAATTGAAACTTTAAAAAAGGTTTTAGTTAATCTAAAAGATATTAGAATGTTTGTTGGAAATATTTAATTAGATTTAAATGTAGAAAAACTTCTGCAGAAAAGCACATCTTTGAATGTTGTTCAACTTGAAGATTCACTTCATATTTCTCTCCCTTTTTCTACTATGTTCTAGATAGCTATGGTGTTGGAGGATCCATCCCCTGATCAGATTTCAGGTTCCACTCAACTAATCATCCCTCCAGGTTTGTCTTGAAAAATAAAAAATAATCCCTCTTACCATTTTTATTTGTCATGGTTTCTTTTGTGACCGTCAAACGATAAGAAACTTTGACTAACATTTTACAATGTATTTTTTCATCATATTGATACGCAAAAAAAAATTAGTTTTAGTATTTTTCGTATAGTTTTTGAATGCCGAAATTTTTAATATGAAACTTACAAATTTATTTAATCCAATTCAGCATTGAAAATTAGTTAAATTGCAAAAAACACAATATGACTATTAAAAGTAAGAAGAGGGAGTAAAATCTTTTTTCATTTTGGGAATTTATATACAATTTTTATTTAATTTTTTTATTTAGTTGGTTTGATGGAGCTTGGGTGATTGAACAATAGTAGCAATGTGATTGAGGCAATAAGGAATGAGATTGATAAAGAGCGTATAAGGAACGAGATCATTGTAGAAGAGGTTGCTTGAAAAGCAGATGTTGGACTTTGAAATAAGGAGAGAGCTTATCATGGAAAGAGAAATAGCAATATTTGGAGTTGATAAATTTGCTTCATTCTTTAAGAAACAGTCTAACTTCGTGTTGTTTAAGGAAAAGATGGGAATGGGCGTCTCTGCTGTGTCTATACATGACATGGATCACTTCTTAGAGGTTCCTTTTTGCCGCAGTGCTTTGGAACCAATAATTCAACAGTGAACCAAATCCCAAAGGTGGAGATTTTACAAGTGCAGCCCCCTAGTGTTGGCGGACAGTTGCTGGTTCGTGTTCTTCTTTGTTATTGGCCGTGTTTATTAATTTATAAATTTATGAGTAGATGATTATTTCTTTATCTATTAGTATTATTTGTTTGTACGTTTGCTATTCTGGATTACAAGGTTTTTAAGTAGTAACCTTTTTTTTTTCACTCTGTTTTTGTAGATGGACGCACTGGGTTAGAATTTTAAGTTGGTATTTACTTTCAGCTGTGTGTAGTTTCTCATGCATGAAATTGGCCGAATCTACTCTGGCTCCGAGCTCTGTGCTGACTAAATCAGCAACCTAACTATAATTGTTGCCCTTGGCTTTATGCCTTTTTCCTTAGTTTTATGCCTTCTTGATAGATTTTCCTCTTTCTTAGGATAACCCACACTTCCTTCATGGTTCTTATTGTAGCAGTTGAGGCATGGTTGGAATTTAAACATTATTTGTGGGTCATCTGAGGGATTGACACATTGAAAGACATTGAAATATTGTCTTGTCAGTGTGTATGTCAGAGAAGGGGCCTTTAAACTAATGATTCATGAAAAACAGAATCATCTCTAGTTTGTGAATCCTGAAACACAGACAGTTAATGACCTGAAAGTGCAAAGATTATTTTTTGTGAAACTAATGAATCATGCCTAGATTTCCTAATTTTCTTCCTTTACGTACTTCGTTTCCATTAGTCACGTTCTTAGTTTTCTGGTGACCAGTTTACATAACCAGAATTCTATTTACACATGTTTGTATCATCACTTCAAATTGAACAACCAAACCTAGGAAAATATTTTCTGGACGAGGTAACAGTAAGAAATTAAACGTTATCAATGGCAACTCCATTCATTCTTAAAAAACTGCGTATTGGCTTGGTTTGTCCGAATCAGGAGAGATGATGCTTCAAGTTACTATTGCTTTAATAAATTCATATAATATGCTTTCATATCCAGATCGGTAAACCATTTGCCAGTGTTTAAATTTCTTATCAATGCTTCTTTTAGTATTCATAACACCGGTTGAGCCTGACACGATTTTCTCTCGAACAAAACGGAAAGCTATAACACTGACTGAAGTAGTTACTGACAATCCTTCATTAAGCAGTCCTCCAGTTAAAAATGTTACAAAGTGGAGTTTTGCACTTTGTCAGGTATTTACTACAAATCAAGATTGAATGAATATCCCCTTTTAAGAAAAACAAAACACAAATGCAAGGAAGCTGATTTTAGAGAATCCAGGGATGCCAAAAACTGTAGAATTGGTCTTTTACCAAAGAAACAAAAACTTTTGATCTCATATCAGGGAAGAAATAATATGAAGGATCTAATCCAAACGTTAACGATCCACCATCCTTGTTTATAGATGACAATTCAAATGACTTATGAAACAACACAACTAATGGAAAACAAAACAATCGGTAGTTCAAGTTTTGGTGTTACACATATGCAAAATGCTTTTCCAGTAAATTGTTCAAGATGTTGAATATGATTTTTTCTTACCCTATGTGCCTCCATCATATTTTTAGAGAAGGTCCGTATTTTGCATGTCTCACACAAAAATGTGAACTACCTATTGTTTTGCTTTTTATGAGCTGTGTTGTTTCACAAGATATATGCAATGTTATCTATCAACAAGGATGGTGGTTCATTAATTTGGACTTTATATCAGATCATTGCAAGGACGTTCCACAAGCTCGATGAATTTTGATTTCTTTGGAAAGAGACCAATGCTCCAGTTTTTGTTCTCCTCCTTCCGTTTGTATTTCTCCCTTGGAATTGGGCATTCAGCAATCTTTATTTGTAGTAATTACCTGACAAAGTTCAATATTCCACTTGGTAACATGTTTTACTGGAGCACTATGAAGGCTTGTCAGCAACCTCTTCAGGTAGAGTTATAGCTTTCCGTTTTTCTCTCGAGAAAATCATGTCAGGCTTAGCCTGTATCACCCCAAAAGAAGCACTTCTCAGAAATTTAAACACTAGGTATACCGTTGATGGATTTGAATGCATTGAAAAATTCATAAAAGTTAACTGAATGTATAAAAGCAGTAATAGCTTCGACTAAAGCAGGGAACAATTGACAAGGGCAGTAAATTTAATTTCACTGCCTGTGTTTAAGTATGACTTAGTCAATTAGTTGTTAGTCAAGCTTTAAAATTATTTAGGAGTTCCTTAGTGGATTTCAAGATGGTGTATTATTATTTTTTTACTTTTTGATCTACACTCTTTTATATCTAATATGAAGAATTATTAAAACTGTTCCTCTGCTACTATTGTTCTTTTTTTTGTCTCTCTCGCCTTTTTTTGTTTCAAACAAGTCTTTGATTTCCCTTTGAATTATTTAGCTTAAACAAGTTATTAAAACCTTCAATTGGTATCAGGATCTCTATTTCTTAAGGGACCTCTGTGTGTGTGGTAATCACATTTCGTGAATACCATTAATAGAGAAACAAGTTTTTGTGCAATGGCACCATCAACTTTTGGTGGAGAAAGTTACCGAATCAGGGCTGTTAGAATGCAGACATATTCTGGAAGCTTTGGATCTCTGAGAGGCTGTAGAAGATGAATACATCATTGCTCCCTTGACAAACTGTTGGGTATGTAGCAAGAATTGATGGGAAATAGAGGGAAGGAGAGGAATTTGAAAAATTTAGAACTTGAAAGATTGGGAACTTGAAAAGTGCTCTAATGCTTTAATAAAAAAAAAAGGCAATAGTCCCTCATCGGTAATGGAAATAAAAATAGGAGAGTTTAAATAAATAAACACTCCTATTAATTATTAAAAGGGTTGGAAAGAGGGACCCCCCTCGCGCCGTCGTCGTCGTCGTCGCTCGCTCGGTTCGGCTTCTGCTTGGGCAAATGATCGATCGAGAAATAATTTTTTGGAAAAATTTATTTTAATTATTTATTTAATTAATTAAATGGCCAAAAATTATTTCAATTAATCAGTTGATAACAGAAATTTAGTTAACCCGACCTGACTCGGATCCGCGAGCGTGACCCATTTTAAATTCCGTTATATTTAAAAATTCCCGCCACTGTTATGAAAGCTTGCAACTTTCAGGAACAGTCAATACCATTTGAAAGTTTGCAACCTTTCATTAATGGTTGTGTCAATTCTGAAAGGGTTGCAACCTTTCAGAATATATTATTCTTGCCTATAAATACCATTCAGTCTTCAGAATATTTACTAATGAATTTTTTGATCTTCCTACTTCTTAAAAAACATATTTTTCTTCATGTACTTTCCTGCTGTGGATTGATTCGCTGACAGTAGAGTTTTTGGTATCTATACTCTACTGATTAAGATCATTTTACCCTTGGAGGTTATATTCCAAATCAAACCTCGGATACTAGAGGGGAATAATTTCCTTAAGGGGACACTGTGAATTCAGTGGACTTGATTTTCTTCCTAAATTATCAAAAAGAGTATTCAAGATTCTGGTAAGTTTTACAGATTAAATTATTTTTACAAATAAATTTCTGTTCATCTTATTTACTGGTTCTAAAAATCTCAGTTACTTCGTGTTTCTGAATGATTTATTACAACCAGTAGTTTCTAATTTTCTTAACACATATTGGCAACAATCTTAAGGAAATTATTTAAATCTGTGTTTCTGGTGGAGACAAAAATGTTTGTGATTTTATACTCCTTTAAGTCTGCAATTATAATTTATTGCTTACTTATATTGTATCAATTTTGTTTATCAGAAATGGAAAACACTGGTGTTACAGTGGCTGTTGCTGCACCATCCCGAACTCTTGTATCACAAGAAGAGAAATCGGGTAAATTCACAGGTGTGAATTTCAAAGTATGGCAGCAACGAGTATTTTTCTGGCTTACCACTCTTGGTCTGCAGAAATTTACAAGTGAAGATACTCCAGTACCTGCTGATGATATGCCAGACAGGGAACAATTTATGATTGTTGAAGCATGGAAACAGTCAGACTTCCTATGTAAAGGTTACATTTTGAGTGCTTTAGAGGATGACTTATATAATGTCTATATTGCAATAACAACTTCAAAAGAATTGTGGAATGCACTTGAGAAGAAATATAAGATAGAAGATGCATGCTTGAAAAATTGTGGTCGCAAAGTTTTTAGACTATAAAATGGTAGATAGTAAAACTGTTGGATCACAAGTGCAGGAACTTCAACTTATTCTCCATGATCTGATTGCTGAAGATATGGTAGTAAATGAAGCTTTTCAAGTGGCTGCAATGATCGAGAAGTTGTCTCCTTCGTGGAATGATTTCAAGAATTATCTAAAGCACAAGCGTAAAGAAATGAAGCTTGAAGATATTGTGATTTGTCTCAAGATTGAGGAGGATAACAGAAATGCCGAAAAGAATTCGCGTAAGAGTTCAACAATCATTGGAGTTAATATTGTTGAAGAAGCTCCTACCAATGACAAAAAGAGAAAAAAGTCCAACGGGCAGAAGTCAGAACAGGCCAAGAAGAAATTCATAGGCAACTGTTATAATTGTGGCAAGGCTGGTCATAGATCTTCTGATTGTCATGCTCCAAGAAAGGACAAAAACAAAGGCAAAGGCAAAATTCAAGCAAACATCGTGGAAAAGATGGAAGATGCAAATGACTTGTGTGCAATGATATCAGAGTATGACTTACTTGGAAATCCCAAGGAGTGGTTTCTCGACTCAGGTGCTACTAGACATATTTGCTATGCAAAAGAAGCCTTTGCAACGTACACTCCTGCTGAGTACGATGAAGATTTATTTATGGGAAACACAGAAACAGCAAGGATTGCAGGAACTGCGAAAGTAATGCTGAAAATGACATCCGACAAAGTGTTGACTTTAAACAATGTTCTGCATGTCCCTACTATTAGGAAGAATTTAGTTTCTGTTGCACTACTTGTTAAGAACGGGTTTAAGTGTGTCCTAGTTAGTGATAAAGCTGTAATAAGTATGAATGAAATGTTTATAGGAAAGGGCTACCTCAATGAGGGTCTTTTCAAATAAATGTAATGGTTATTGACAGCATTAATAAAAATTCTGCTTTTGTTTACTTATTGGAGTTATGTGATTTATGGCATGTCCGTTTGGGACATGTAAATTACAAAGCCTTGTGAAAATTGGTTAATCTAGAAGTATTGCCTGATTTTAAATGCGATAGGTCGAAATGTGAAATTTGTGTGGAAAGTAAGTTTGTTAAACATCCTTACAAGTCTGTTGAAAGAAATTCTAAAACTTTAGACTTAATTCACACAGATATATGTGATATGAAGTCAACACCATCTCGTGGTGGGAAAAAGTATTTTATAACTTTTATTGATGACTGCACTCGATTTTGTTATGTATATTTGCTTAATAGTAAGGATGAAGCAATTGATGCATTTAAGCAATACAAAAATGAAGTGGAAAACCAATAGAATCTAAAGATAAAAATGATTCGTAGTGATAGGGGTGGAGAATATGAATCTCCTTTTGCAGAGATATGTTTGGAATATGGTATTATTCATCAAACTACTCCACCTTATACACCACAGTCAAATGGTTTGGCAGAACGAACAACAGAACATTAAAGGAAATGATAAATGACTTAATGATCAATTCTGGTTCACCGCAAAATCTTTGGGGGGGAAGCCATCCTTACAGCTAATAAATACTCAATAGAGTACCCCATCAAAAAACACAATT